TTTGAAAACCAGATCTGAGATAATGAACCTGAAGTAAAATGTAGTTTAGCCATATTTCTTAATTAGTAGCTGGAATATATCATTACTCATGTATATAGTAGTGAAACAGCCACCACGCCAAAAAGGACCCACTGGAACAGGGCAGTCATCTCTCGTATGGGGCAGTCATCTCTCGTTGGCTCCCTCGGCCCCAACTGCCAAAGCCTTCAGACACACTCATTTTATAGACCATGACGAAGCAGCCAATTGGTTGAGTGGGAGAGTTTTACATATGCGTAGGTGCACTCCATCAATTCTCCCTTCCTACAACTGCTCTGCGACACCATACGCATGCAATGAGTGGGTGTTTTCGGGCATAATGTTGCGTATCTTGCTAATGACAATCACAGTAGATAATATAAAAAAAAAAAATAACACATAAAAAAAAGTGACAGTCAAACAAATATTTTAGAATACTTCCAATCAACCCTGATATTGCTCTCAGACCTTGCTCTCACTGTGTGGAGCTTTCAAGATGGTCTTGTGATATCTGTATACTTTGAAGAAGAGACAAGTGGTGCTGAGAATATGAAATTTTTGCCTGCTTATAAGTGTTGTTAACAGACACATATTGGCAGCATAATTTTATCTTCATTTAGATCTGTTTCATTGTGGCAGTCTGATCAGTAAAATATAGGGCCAATTTGAAGAAGACTTGATGGTCTTATGTGCTACAAGCAAGGTATGACTAGAGAATCCAAATACATAGAAATAACTTATTGCATCAAGCAACCCACTTAACAACTTGAGGCTAGAAAATCATTTTTTGCTAAGCAAATGTCTCACCCTGACAATGGCAGTGCTTATTAAAAAGTGTGTATATCTTTTCACGTCTTTTTGCAATCTGCCAAAAAATGTGACCCTCGGTACAAAACCAGAAAATTTGAAATCTTTAATTCAAACACTACCACAAAAATACTAAGCCCAGAAAATAGCACTTCATCTAAAAAGGTTATAAGATACCACATATAAGATATAGCTCAAAATATATGTTCAAATAAATTAGCATATGACATTGAGGCCATGAAGTGGTTAAATGTTAATTATGAGCTTAAAAAGCCAGGAATTTTTTCCTGAGGGTTAAATGTACAATTGGGCAGAAGTTATGGAAAGAAGTCCTGTCAACAGTGTTCTAGTCTATATTTTTGCTGGACAGAGATTAAGTCAAGAAAATGAGAAATAATTTTATCGCTTCCTTGAGGAATCAAGAGAATTAAAATTAATGACTAGAATAAAATTATGCCATTTTGCTCATGCACTTTAAAAATTAGATTAGTCACAAAGTAATGTCTGCCCTGGGAAGTAGACTAAAGTTGAATGCTGAGAAGGAAGAGGGAGAATTTAGCATCACCTGATTGATGGTATGAGATGCAAAGTAAAGCAAGTTGGAGTTGAAGAGAGGAGCAATCCCTGTAACTACTCCCAAAAGGTGTATAATTTTTCAAATTTGGAAAGTTGATTAAGAAAGCAGAAATAGGGAAGAAAGAATCCTTATTGGGATTAATGTGAAAATTGAAGAATCAGCGAATCTCAGGACTCTTTGGCCTCAAGCTGGTTTTGTACTGAAGCAGATAGCCTTGAGATCACAAAGACTGTAAATCTCATATCAAATGCCTTTGAAATCTGAATCAGCTGCCACTAGATCTCCTGATTCTCAAGAACTTTGAACCCAAAACTTTAGACAAGGTTCAGTGTCACTATAGAGATTGATGTGGGAAGGGTTAATTTTTGTTGTACCAAGAACTATACAAAACAACTGAATTACTACAACATTTGATCTTCCACTGCTCTGAGATCAAGAACACAATGTTGGCATAGTTGGTGTGGATTCAGTTGGAGGCAGTCTTTCAGGCTGTAATGTCAATGTTGCGGCATACTCCAAGTACATGAGGGTATCCATATTATTGCCTGGTTTTACTCTATACATCTTGACAGAAATCTGCAACTGCACAGATGCAATTTGGGCAGGAGAAGCAGTTGCATCAGTAGTGCAGCCAAACATGTTTTTGTTTGTCATTTGGAAATTCTTGAAAAAGTTGGAAATGAGTGTGTCTGAAGCTAAAGAGCATAATCATATCTTTGCATCTTTTCTAGCAGACCAAACAGCCTTGCAAACAAAGCCTCAGGGTCAACATGAACATTTTGACCATCAATCTTTACACACTTTTCCAGCTCAACAAGCATATGCACTTGGGAACTTCTTTTCCACAAGCTCTCTAAAACATCCACATTATTTCAAGCTTCTTCTGGATAGGGTGATCAATCTCCTCGACCATATCACAATTGATCCCAACACCATCAGATGGTGTCAAACCATATGATACAGATTGTAGTTCTAGCTGGCAAGGGTAAAAGGGGTTGTGCTGAGAGACTCAATTGAAAACTCAGGTCATATCAACAAGATCTCTTTTCCAATGTGTGCTCGTCAGCCCTACATGCTGCTTGCTGGTTCTGTGAGCAAGACCGATCAATGTTGTCATGGGATCATGCACTTGGGTAAAGGTGTGCATCCAAAACATCCACATCAGTCTCAATGGTTTCATAAATGGTTTGTCCCCTAGTTAGCCCACCTCTGCTCTTCATGGATCTCATCATTACAGTTGACAAGCCGGTACTGTAACATTCACTGCTTTGCACAGAATGGAAACTGTACTCTGAGAACTATTGATGCAGCCAAGGATGCTTTTCATGCACTTAGAGTTTATTATGCAAATCAATAAGTTTTCTCATCTAATTTACAAAGAAGTGTGCTCATAAAGCTCTTGAGACAGCCTTTCCAGAAAGAATATGACACTGAGCTTTCTGTGTAGACGTGGTTAGTAACTCAGACAACCCATCACCATTCATAAGACTACTGACACTTCCCAAGAAGCTCATGATGGTGTGAAAGCCTCTTAAACAAAACTACACAAGTTGCTAAGAACCCTGTTTTTGCAAAGAAAGTAGTGCTCAGGAAAAAGGCTGTAAAAAAACTCCTCAAGGTGGATGAGAGAGGAGTTTATTTTCTTGCATAAAATTCCACTTTCAATGAAACAAAACATGTTTTGGTAACATTTTTTCTTGGTACACCTTATATTCACTCTAAATCAACCAGACTACAAGAGATAGAAAAACAAGACAAAAGTAATATTAAGACAAACAATATATGCAAGACAAAAGTAGGTAAAGCAACAGTAATGGGGCAAAAGGTTCAAAAACTAAGAATGGTGTTAATACACAAAAGGGATACAGGCAAGTGATCACAGTATTCTGACTTCAAGACAAGAAAGAACAGAAATATGGTGGATGAGACTGAGTAGTAGCCTATCTTATTGGCTAGGAAGAAATCCCAGCATGCATCTGTATGTTTTGTCTATAAATTTGAGGAGGAGAATGTTCTTGCAGTCAATTCCACTTCAAATCAGAATCAACAAAAGTTCACACACTATTCAGTTTGTGAACTGTTCAAATTCCCTAAACTTTTGGACAGTACCTCATACATTCATCTATATATTGGCTTATTCTTCACACAGTGCAAATAATTGATCTACCAAAACAAACTTTGGTAAATGCATATCTTATGAACTTGAAAAGATCAATTCCTAGAGACATTTACCATTTTCAATGTAAAATCATGGAATTATAAATCAAGTGACAAAATATCTTTTGATATCTTCCCTAATAAATAGAAGTACAAGAAACGGTTCCTGGAATGTCAAAGACAGGCATCTCATCTGATGAAGAAAGAAATTACCAATTGACAGACCAGTTTATGCTTCTCTTGAATCCTAAGGAGAAAAGGTTTGACTATCACTTCTACAAACATTCTACAAAATTCAGAGCAATATCTCTTGCTTGTTATATCTAATTTTGAGTTTAGTAAATATAAAAGAATTCTAATACACAGTGGAAAAGACTCTACTAGTACTTATTATTCCCTGAACAGTAGACAAATGATGAAGATATTAAAGTGAAATTAGCTGAAGCTTTTTTAAATACTCCATCTGCTCAATCACACAATTGCTATCTGATTATAGATATGTAAAATCAGTTTCCTAACAATTATTTTCTTTTTAATTGCTATTAATACAATAATTTTATTTCAAATAGCAAGCAGGACAGAATCTAGAAATTGAATAATTGCATTGTTCAACATTTGTAGATGAGAAGAAAAAAATAGCAACAAAGATTATCACAGAATCAGAAAAGAATATTGAAATTGCTAAAATGTATTAAATATATGTAAAAATCTCCAGTGTTTATTAGTTAATATACATGCTTGTTAATACCTGGATTTAATCAAACTTAGTGGATACTAGTAATAACTAAATAATCAACTAAGATATCATTAGATATAGACAGTAGAATGAGAACAAAATCTGCACCCATAGATTGAATATTGGGTGGTTCAGTTTGAAATTCCCTGAAGGTTACCTGTATTGACAGGCATTTAAAGATGGCCAGAAGGAATGATGACAAAAACATTGTCATTTTAACAATGGAAAGGAAAACATTAATCCAACTGTAAATAATATAAATATCAATAAGTCCTCATCCTAGAAATTCAAACAGAAACTTGAAAGATTTAAAAATATGCACCTATATAAATCCAAAGATACATTGTATACAAAAGTGCAAGATGTATGTGCACTTTCTGAACAAATCATGTTAAAGAGATTAGCACAGACCTTAGTAATATTTAAATACAGCTTAAATTATAAAAATTATTTGTATATGTGATATATATTCTTATGAGTAGGTCATTAATTCTAAATGTAATATTCACATAAATCATTTTTCTTAACTTTCAATACAAAAAAACCTCAAAAAAAACAAAACAATGATAAACAAATTCTAATATACTAAATCCTTTTAACAGGTGATTAATAAATTCATTTACTTTTACAGATTTAGTTAAATCCTAAAAGAATGAGACAAATCAAACAATACAAAAGAAAACTACATTTTTCTGTCACATTTACCTTTGAAGATGTCAGCAGCATCATTGTGGCTTTCTCCAGAACAGCCCTGGCAGCACCCATTTGTGCACGTTGTTTGTCACTTTTAAGGTCCTGTAAACATAAAAATGAAAACATATAGGAAAAACAAAACTTACACTCTAGAGAAAAAATAATGTTAAGTGATCAGTTTAAAAAAAAAAAAAAGAAGAATGAAAAGTCTGTAAAAACATTAGTAATGAAAACACTGAACGCAGTTGACTTGTCAATATTTACGTATCTAAAAGTTGACAAGTCAAAAAGAAAAAAAAATACTTGAAGAGAATATGTCTAACAGACATAAAAGACTGATTACACTTTTTAATACTACAATTCACATCATATAAGGCTTGAGAGCCACGCAAGGTGGATGGTTATTATTAAATTGGTAATGATGAATAAGGTGTGTGATATGAATGAAATCGAAGGTGGTAGGAAGTGAAGATTAAGGGGATAGATAATGATTAACCCTTGATTTGTAGAGATTAAGATTATAATGTTCAGGGAAGCACCAACAGGACAGCTCTTTCTCAGGTGTAGCCATTTTGTAGAATGACTATCGAGTGAAACTTCCTTTTTGCCTTTGGAACAAAGCAAATAAGTGTCTGTTGTGTCCGTGGAAGTAGCAAAGTATGTCCTAGGTGTAAAAGGCTGAACTAGTGGAACTAAAGAATAGAGCGCTCATCTAAACACTTGCCATGCTAGGAGCTATAGACTAGTTATAGGCTTGCAACATTATGTCTGTGGAAAAGAAACTGCAGTGCAGCAAATAAATCTCTCCCCACATGACCATATATGTATAGATTATGTCTATTTTACATCATTTTGTATAAAGTACAGTTTTACAGCATACTAACTCTTAACCAAACTAATAGTCACAAAATCTGGTTCAAATCCTCCCAGAAGTCTTGATATTGTCAAACTTCCAAGCATGAAAGAGGTAATCTGAGTTAATCTATATCTTGGAATTTAACATTGCAGAAGCACCTAACCTATTTTTCCTAAAAATCTTTCTGGTTTTCATGAAAAGAAATTAGAAGTCCTAACAGGATTCATTATTGGTGGCCACAATCTTAACAATGTAACATAAGCAAATGACAATGTTGAGTCATGTCGCAATACCAACTTTGTGTATTTTGGTAGATAATAAAGTTTGGATATTTTAGGTTGTTATTTGATCAATTGTGATTATGTCTTGTCCTCATTATTAATTAACTTTCTAATTATTTTTGTAGAATTAAACATTTTGGATTTTTTTTTTTTATGCATCTTTGTAGCAATGTTGTTTTGTTGTCTGTTCCTAAAATGACACTGATTAATTCTTGAGTGAAGCCTTTGTTAAATCTGTGTCATTGTACTTTTAGATCTTCCTCATTGGGCTGATTAAGTCTCCATTTTTAATTCCAGTAGTAAATTTTAGTCTGAAGCATTAGTTTTCAATGTCAGATAAGTTTTCTTGGGGGTTCTTGGTCTGCTAAGTCTTTATCTCTACTGTTTGAACACTGGGAGTTTAGTTTGTATGGGGGTCTGCAGATTTGGTTATTGTTCATTAAACTGTCTGCTTCTAATTCCTGAGGTATTCCTATACTAATCATCATATCTGGAATTGTTTTTTTCTTTCCATTTTGACACTATAAGTCTGATGTATCAATTTGTATATCATATAGGAAAATATGATGCACAGATTAACAGAAGACCAAAAAGATTTAGGGCCAAATTGCCATCTCCAACCTAAATTTGACCTCTTCACAAAGAAGACCAAAATTGAAATTCTATGCCAGTCACTACCTCAATTTGAGGCTGGCGAATTTATAGCAGTTCATTACAACAAATTACAACACATCATTGACAGCTGATCTAAATTTACCAAATTAAACAAAAACATCACGGAGACCCTAAAAAGATCCATGCAAAAACTGATAACATCAAATAATGCCGATATAGGTTCCTTGAAAATCAAAAAAGTTCATCACAGGCTACCAACCAGCATACCTATACAGAAATATAAAAATACATAAAATTGAATACCCGCTACAGCCCATCATTTCCAAGATTTCAAACCCTATCTATGAGCAATCAAAATTACTTAATGATATCATTACTCCATACCTACCTATAAATTATAGCATCACATCAGACCACAAATTCCTTCAAATTCTAAAAGCTATATAACCAAGCTAAGGTAAATTTAGCATCGCTTGACATTGAAAATTTATTTACAAACATCTCTGTTGATCAAACCAGACATAATCCTTAGCTCCATGTATAAAAATAATCCCATTCTACTTCCATCCATCAAATCAAATATCCTCAAAAAATTATTGCAAGCATGCACAACAAAAAACACTTTCTTTGATCATAATGGCAATATCTACTAGCAAAATAATGCTGTTAGTCTGGGAAATCCTCACAGCCCATGCTTCTCCAACTACTGCATTTCCCACATAGAAAACAATATTTAACAAGTCACTAAATCCAAAATATATGTCTATGTACATGATATTTTTATTTTAACAAAAAACAAACAAGAAATTGATAATCTCAAAACCACATTTGAAAAAAATCTGTCCTTAATTTTACTTATGAATTGAGTCAAAAAAAAAAAAAAAAAAAAAACTCCCATTCTTAGACATTCTCATAGAATTCAGTAATAACACATTCACCACTTCATTATATAAAAAACCAATTAGTATTAACTCTTGTCACCTTAATTTTAAGAATGAATGCCCACTTAGATATAAAATAGTAGTTATAAAAAATTGCCTAAAGAGAGTACATGAGAATTCATCCTCTCATCCACTTTTCCTTTCTCAATAATGTAAATAGACACTAGTTAATAATGGTTTTCTTAACTACCTCATTGACTACCAGATTAGACTATTTCTTTCTAAACTAATAATGATACTGAACATACAGATAAAAAACAATAATATTAACATCTACAAAAACCAAATACATGTCAACTATAAGCAAGACAATTTTTTTCTTAGAAATATCAAAGAAATACACAACTCCAGTTGACCCTAACAAGAAAATTATCTATTACAAAAAATTTAAACAGCTAACCACATAATAAAAAAGCACATCCACAAAATTAAAACTACAAAGAACCAACAATATTTACAAGTTCAAATGCTCTTTAAGGAGCTGTGTTCCTGATCAAACCAAACTCATAAATAATTTCATTGGTCAGAATAATACATGCCTATCTAGACAACTTACATTACACCTACCCAACCATAGTTCCATTACGACTCATTTAAACATACACACTCACAAACAAAACTACCAGACTCCATCCAAAACATACTAGTAGAAAATACAAGCATAATAGCCTCATCCGCATGTAAAAAAAAAAGATTCAAAATAATGGAAGCCCTAATAATAAAAAAGGAAAAGCCAACACTCAGTAACATTAACTATGAGCACGGCCACAATATACTGACCATGTTCAGAAATAAAACATTCCTATAACTTTAGAAACATACATACAAAAACAGATTTTAATTAAAAATAAAAAAAAATGTCCTTGATAATGGTTAAAAGAATAGCCGAAAGCATTTGGAAATGCAAATCTTTTGGAGAGTTTTTACACTGTGTTCACAAAAGAAAACAGTTATACAAACACAAGAAAAATTAAATAAAAAGTTTAAACGCAGTACCTCGTCTTTAACAAAACATGTATAAAAGAGGGATTGCTGCCTAAATATATATGTGTGTGTGTATATATATATATATATATAATAGAGAATGAGAAAGAGACCAATAATATGTTATTTGTAGCCTAACTCAATCCAGTAAACTTAAGCTTACATTTCATCACACTTGATTAGAGAATATCTATTTGCTATAATCCCCTACATTAGCAAAACAGGCTGCTTGAGATTTTTCAGGTTTTAGAGTACATATTCTTTGTTTGTCAGGATTGATTTGCATATTAGCATCAAATCAATAACTATGTAGTGTTTATCACACACAAATTTTAAGTACATTGTTTTAGTAGATGAGTACAATCTAATTCCAGTGGTTAGGCACAACATTTATATCTTTAATTTGAGGCTGCACATTGAGCTCAGTACTTGCAAAAAGAATTCAGATATTGATAAAAGCCAAAGATTGAATCTTCTATTGTAATAAACTTTATTTGCTTGAATATAAATGTAGATTTTTGAAAAAGCAAAAGTACAAAAGACTGAAAATACAGGATATCACAGACAAGTTTTATTAAAGAAATACATTAAGCTTTTATTCATTCCAATGATTAGATATATTATACATCAACTTCTGGTAATGATAGTGGGAATGAAATAATTAGTTGTATTTTAGTATAGATTGTATTTCAACCTGGTTTACATTTGTAAGATTTTAGCATTTACTACCTTAGCCATTTTCTGTACTAGAATTTTAGTACTCTAGTAAAACCAACTGCACTTTATACCCACTTACCTGTTTGTACTTCTCCCCAAAATTTGGTTTTGATTGGTGCTATAACTTGCTCCTAGCAGTTATAATATTATGTCTCATTTAGGCTGTGACATGATTAGAAATTATCCTCAACTGACGTTAACAGACTGCTATTGAATCACTTTGAGTTCATTATTTAAGATTTCTTTGCCTTGTTCATTTGTATTACTGGGGGGGGGTCTTATTTACTCCACAACAATCGGTCAATGTATGGCTATTTTAGAGTGTGTGACAGACAGAAATCCCAGAATTTTATTTTATATATATATATATATATATATATATATATATATATATATATATATATATATATATATGAGATAGATAGATAACAAATATTTCTGGCAGCAAGAAAAGAAATGGTATTTTTGATTTAATATTTTTTTAGAATGTTTTATTACTCAAACTATATTGTGCATTGAAAATAAGTGATTGTCAGTTACCACAAATTGATACTTACAGAAAAAGGCTATTATAATAATAATACATAATTGTTTTCTTCATAGGAAATAATCTAGAAAGATTATTTTGTAATTAGATGTAATACTTATTGCCCATTCATGTTAACTTATACTTTGTTAATGGTCAATGTTTTAAAAGAATATTCTAAT